AGTGAACTAGCAGGGCACAAAGTAAATATACAGAAATTGGTTTCATTTTATACACCAATAATAAACTATTACGAAAGGGAACTTTTAAAAAAATCCCATTTACAGTTGCATTAAAAAAAATAAAATACCTAGGAACAAATGTGACCAAAGAGGTAAAATACCTGTACTCTGAAGATTATAAGGCTATGAAGAAAGAAAGTGAATAACATAAATGGAAGCATATACCATACTCATTGATAGGAAGAAGTAACATCCTTAAAATGTCCCTACTACCCAAAGCGATCTATAGATTCAATGCAATCCCTATTAAAATACCCTTGGTAATTTCACAGAACTAGAACAAATAACTAAAAAATTTGTATGGAACTACAAAAGACCCCAGAGAACCACAGTAATCTTGAGGGAAAAAAAAGTCAAGTTGGAGGTATCAAGTTACCTAATATCAAACTATAGTACAAAGCTATAATAATCAAAACAACAAAGGACTGACATAAAAACAGACTTATAGATGAATGGAACAGAATAGAGAACCCAGAAATAACCTTACACCTAGATGATCAATGAATTTGTAAGAAAGTAAGCAAGAACATTCAATGGGACTAGACAGTCTATTCAATAAATGATGTTGGGCAAATTGGACAGATACATGTAAAAGAAATAAAACTAGACTACCTTCTTACACTATATACAAGATAAACTCAAAGTGGATTAAAGGCTTAAATGTAAACTTGAAACCATAAAAATCCTGGAAGAAAGCATTAGCAGTAATATCTCTAACATTTCTCTTAGCAATATGTTTTCTGATATGTCTTCTCAGGCAAGGGAAACAAAAAAAAAATAAACAAATTGAGACTACATCAGACTAAAAAATTTTTGGAAAGCAAGGAAACCATGAAGAAAACGAAAAAAAACCTCAGCCAACTGAATTGAAGAAGATATTTGCCCATGATACACCCTTAGGGGTTAATATCCAAAAAATTTAAAGAACTCAAAAACAAAAAAATATTTTAATAATCTAATTGAAAAATGTACAGAGGTCCTAAATTAGCACTTCTCCAAAGAAGATATACTGAAGGCCAATTGACATGCAAAGATTTCAGTGTCACTAATTATCAGAGAAATGCAAATTAAAACCAGAATAAAATATCAACTAATACCAGTCGGAATGACTATCATCAATAAATCAACAAACAGCAAGTTCTGGCAAGGATATGGAGGAAAAAGAAGCCTCATGCACTTTTGGTGGGAATGCAGACTGCTGCAGTCACCATGGAAAGCAGAATGGAGCTTCCTCAAAAAAATTAAAAATGGAAATGCCTTATGTCCCCCACCATTCCACTTTTGGATATTTATCCAAATAAACCCCCCCAAAACTCATAAGAATATATGTACCTCTTTGTTCATTGCAGTGTTATTTATAATAGCAAAGATATGGAAGCAACCAAGTGCCCATCAATAGATGAGTGGATAAAAAGTGGTGGTGAATATATACAATGGAATATTACTTGGCCATTAAACAGAATGAACTCTTACCATTTGCGATAGCATGGATGGGTGTAGAGGGTATTACGCTAACTGAAATCAGTCAGTCAGAGAAAGACAAGTACCACATAATTTCACTTAGATGTGGAACCTAAAAGAACAAAATAAACAAACAATAGAAACAGACTCATAGATACAAAAAGCAGATTGATGTTGCCAGAAGGGAGGGCGTTTGATATAAAGGGAGAGTGTTTGATTTCACTGGGTGCAAAGGTGAAAGGATTAAGAAGTACAAATTGGTAGTTTGAAAATAGTTATGGGGATATAAAGTGTAGCATAAGGAATAAAGCCAATAATATTGTAATAACTATAGGTACCGGACTTACTGGGGTGATCACTTTGTAAGGAATATTAATGTCTAATCACTATGTGATACACCTGAAACTAATATAATATTGCACGTCTTCTGTAATTGAAGATCACATTTAAAAATAAAATTTTGATAGTTCTCATTTTGAAGGGATTGCTTCTGAGTCCAAATATGTAGTTCAGTTCTATCTACATTTAACTAAAATACATAATTAAAACAGGAAACTCTGCTCTCCGATATCAGAGTTTTGTTACCTTGTTTATGTTTTAAAATCTTTTAACCTTCACCTGAGGATGTTTATTGATTTTTAGAGAAGAGGAAGGGGGAGGGAGGGAAGGAGAGAGAGAGAGAAACATCGATGTGAGGGAGAAACATTGATGTGAAAGAGAAACATTGATCGGTTGCCTCCTGTACACACACCGATCGGGGTTTGAACCTGCAACATAAGTAAGTGCCTTGATTGGGGGATTGAACCCGCAACATTTTGGCTCACAGGACGATGCTCCAACAAACTTAGCTACCCAGCCAGAGGTCACCTTGTTTTATTTTTAAAAAGGAAGCAAAGAACTCAATTCCTGGAAATATCCTTGAGGACGGTGAAGAGGCCAGAATATTCCTCTTGTGCTGCAACATAAGCCAAGTGAAATTAACACAATTATTTGGTCACTTTGGCCAAGCCTCAGGTTTCACCTTGAGTTTCAGGGTTACTGAAATGTTACTCTTTTCACAAAACCTAATTGCCAAATCTGTCTCCCTCACTTGAGCCAATGTTTAGGCTGTGGCATGTCTTGTAAAGTGAAAGTGGCTTTAAAGTTCAATGGGAAGACAAAACTAATCTCCTCTTCAGATATCTTCAGGTTAGAACTCACCTTTCTTTCATGTGTCTACCTTTTTTTTTCTCACTAGTCTAAATGGATATTCAGTTTTAATGCTAATTGATTTTTATTACTTCATTTATTTTATTATTTAAAATATGCTCTTAGAAGCTTTAAAAGTAACTGCTCTTCCCTCAGAAGCTTCTACTTAATAGGCATTGCCATAATAGGTCACCTTCAGCGTCACTAAATCTGAGACCCCAGCACATTTCTAACAAATTAAATAAGGTTTTATTTAGTTCATTTTAAGAGATGAATCAGCTTTAGATGTTCTCTAAATGAATTGCAAATTAATTGGTTGAGTGTGTTTCAGTTTTCTGTACATTATTTTATCCTTTCTGTCAGTAATTTAGGTTAGCTTGCACTGAAGTATTTGGTACAACAGCAATGGAAAAATGTGGGCATATTTATGCTGGCTGTTATGATGGACTTAGAACCTTTTTACCATTAATTTTGCTCTCAGTTTTATATTGAAAATTTTTGCTCCACAGCTATTGAACAATCAATATAGGATGGGCACCTAATGAGATGTTTATGTTGTAAATAACTTGAGGGTTATTCTACTTGATTAAAAAACTTGTATGGCATGTTTTGATTTATTTTTTTGGAACATGTAATTTGTGCTAGTAAGAGAAATAAGTGTTTCTTATCAGTGTTTTTTAAGAAGTAGGAGTATGGATTTAGCAATCAGGGAATTATCACACACACAAAGTATACTGCATTTCTTAAGAAGAGACACACATAATTATACAATCTAACTTCACCATCGTAGTAGAAAACTAAAAATTCATTTATTGATTTACTTCCTGATAGCTAAAATCCCTTTTGGAAAGGACGTAACTTTAAGACAAATTTGCTCTTATTGTTTAGTATTAACATCAGTTTTAGCTATGATAATTCTTATAAGTCATGTCATATATATAAAACATAATTTTTCAATGTTACCCAAATCCAACGTAGGAAAGTTGTATTTTGAATTTCTGTAGGAAGGGAAGTGTTAGAAGCAGTGTATGCCTAGGAAGGATTTGAAGTCTAGCCCTTATGTGGGACCAAACCGTCTCTTCACAGGCAACCTGATGTTTCATGCCATGATTTACAACATTTGCCCTCAACTCATCACAAACATATACATGCACCTATAGGGCTTGGAAGGATAGATTTTTTTACTGAAGTTCATTTTTAGGTTTTTCCACCACCTCTTAAGACAGCTGGAGACACCAGAGGTATAAAGCTACTAGAAAAACATCAGATATGCTTCTCTTCCTAGCTCTGCTATGGATTCTCTGTGTCCTGCTGAATGTGTCCTTTGACCTTTCTCTTCCTGACTCTTATCTGTAAAAGGGAGGTTATTATTCTCTCATGCTTCTAATTTACATCCTAGGGATGCCTCCAGTATTCATTGAATTAAAATAATACATAAAGTCTGCAATTTATTGGTTTAGAAAACCAAAGAACGAAATGGATAGGTTTATTATGAAACTTCTTTAAGCCATACATATGATTGTTTTCTTAGGGCTATATTATCTTCACACTTTTTATTTATCTTTTTAAGTAATTGTAAAACTAGTAAGAGGGCTATGTGTATGGAAGCCTAGATTAAGTTATCACAAGGCAGCACGGTGATGTAATCTTGACCCTGTTATGATTTCAATGTATGTAGTATGAATGTGAATGTGTGTATCACAGAAAAAAAAGGTGGAAAGAATATACATTACAACATTAGCAAGTGTTATTTCCAGCATGTGGCTAATTGAAATTCTCTTCTTTTTAAAAATTATCTGTATTTTTTTACAATTACATGAATTATTTGTGTGATTAGATTATAACCATTTAAAAGCAACATTGCTTAACTGCTAGTTAAAAATTTTTATTTATTTTATTCTAGTACACTTTCATGTTATAAAAATAAATTTTGTGAAAATTCCTATTTCAAAATGGGGGAACACAGAGTAAGAATTGTAAAATTAATGTAGCTACTGTTATGTGTTGAAAATAACCTGCTACATCTCACCATGATGATCTTCTCTATAATATTTTTTAATTTTTATTTATTGACAATAGAGAGAGGGAGAGGACAAGAGAGAAAGGAGGGAAGAGATTGTTGTTCCACTTATTGGTGCATTCATTGGTTGCTTCTTGTGTGTGCCCTGACTGGGGATCAAACCCACAACCTTGTTGTATCAGGATGATGCTCTAACCAACTGAGCTATCCGGCCAGGGCCTTATAATATTTTTTCTTTTGATTATTCTAATTTTTAAAATTTGTTCTACAGCTACAAGACCGCACTCAGTTCAGTGACAGAGACTTAGCCACCCTTAAGAAATACTGGGACAACGGCATGACCAGCCTTGGCTCAATCTGTAGAGAGAAAATTGAAGCAGTTGCAACTGAATTAAATGTTGACTGTGAAATAGTTCGGGTAAGACATTTTCAATAACTTTTATGGTGTGGTTGATGAGTGTCATAAATGCAAGCTTTAAAAACTTATGAAGTGATGTAAATACTACCATGAATGTAGTGAAAAAGTTAACCCACATAACAGGAAGAAATATTTTCAAACCATATATCGGATAAGGAATTTGTATCCACGGTATGTTAAAGACTCCTACATCTCAATAATAAAAGGCAAATAATGCACTTTTTAAAAAAATAGGCAAAAAGTTTGAATAAACTTTTATCCAAAGAAGATATACAAATGGCCAATAAACACAAAAAACGTTGTTCAACATTATTTATAATTACGGAAATTAAAACCACAATCTGATATCACTCAGCACCTATTATGATGGCTAGAATCAAAAAGACTAAAAATGTGGAGAAATTAGAACCATTATAAACTTCTGGTGAAAATGTAAAATATTTTAGCCTCTTTGGAAAGCTGTTCTCTAAATTAGCAGATTTATTATATGGCCCAGAAATATCACTCTCAGGTATATACCCAAAAGAAATGAATTATATGTTCACTCAAAAACTTGTACACAGATGTTCTTAACTGTTCTTATTCATAATACCAAAAAGTGGAAAAACTCAAATGCCTGTCAAGTAAATGTGTAAACGAAATACGACATGCATATAATGAGCTGTTGTAGAGCTATATCAAGGAATTAAATCCTGAAACATGTTACAAAATAGATGCATCTTGAAAATGTTATGCTAACTGAAAGAACCAGTCACAAAGACCACATATTATATGAATCCATTTATAAGAAATTTCCAGAATTGACACATCTACAGAGACAGATTAGTGGATACCCGGAGTTGGGTATAAGGACAAATGGGGAGTGACTGCTAAAGGGTATAGGTTTTTTTTTTTTTTGTGATAGAAATATTCTGGAATTAGATAGTGGTGATCATTGCACAACTCAGTGATTATATAAAAACATTTTCATTCTACATATTAAATAAGTAAATTGTATGGTATTTTAAATATTTCTCAGTTACATTGTTTAAAAATTTGCATGAGGTGATCTGAAATATATGTCACATATTATTTAATGAATGATAGATTAAAATTTGTAGTGATCAATCTCAGGAACAGCAGTTTACATTCCATTTGAAAGATGTCAATATAAGATTTAGACAGTGGCATGGTGTACTGGTAAATATTTAACAATCAAACCTTTAAGGAAAATATTTGTTGATTTCCATGGTATGAAGATTCTTACCATGGTTGATTCCATGGTTCATTCAATGTAGAGTTCAGAAGAGATGCCAAGAGTTGGATTTTGTGAGCAGGTATGAGTAAGCTCCAACTCACACTGAAGACTCATCCCAAAATACAAGAGGGGAGTACTATTAATGAAGTGACAAAGTACAGAACCCTTCTATAGGAAGAAGTAAAGTATTTTCTCATACATACCTGAAAAAAGATGGAGAAACATAGGGAGAAGTCATAGAGCCAGATTTATAAAAATAAATACTATTTTCAAAATACTGTCCTATTCAGAGCCTTGCTTTTTATTTTGTTAGGATCCAGATGGGAAATAAAAATAAACCTTGTATTTATTGAGCATACTATGTGTTACATATACTGACAAAAAATTAGAAAAGCATTAGACACTTTTCCTATTTTTAAGGCACTCAAGAGTCTAGCTAGAGGGATGACATGAGAATACAAAGCACTGAAGAAAAATTGGAGTGGAATTATGGTATGAGGATACTAAGCAAAAGACAAGAATAGGAAAATGGAGACGCGTGTTTTTGTTGTAATTGTCATTTTTTATTTTTTAAATCAGAGTTATGCGTGCACATAGCTTAAGGAATCAAGTTCTACAGAATTTGATACAAAACAAACATTTCTCACTCCTTCCCTCCTACCGTTTTCCAATAGTGAGAGTCAACCACTTCCCACTCTTTTAGGTGATTCCTTTGGTATTTACCTCCATCTATGAATGACGTGCTGTATTAACTAGAAGTAGCTTTGGTTGTCAGTAACAGAAAGACTCAAAATAATAGTGACTTACATGAGATGTTTTAATTTCATGTATATATCCAAGGGTATACAATTTAGAACTGGCAAGACAATTCTGCACTAGGAAGTCCTCAAGGACATCAGTACCTTAAACCTTCCATTCTGCCATCCCTACAATGTGTCCCTTGTCCTCAAGGTCCAAATTTATGGCATTTTTGGTCCAGGCAGCATGACAGAAATGTGAAGAAAGGAGGAGCAAGGGTTGTGTCCTAGTTATCTTTTTAAAGGGGATTCCCAGAAACTGCCACAAGACACATTCACTTATATACCACTGGCTGATGATTAGCCTCATGGTCATACCTAATTGAAGGGAAGCTGCAAATGTAGTCATAGTGTGGGAATAGTTTCTATTATTCTGGAATAGAGAGAAGAAATATTGGAGAACAATTAGCAGTCTCTCTCAAGTCTGTTTTTATTGCTACTTTTTGATTTTTCACTGCTAGATATTCTTGACTGATACTCTAACATGAAATGCGAGGCTTTTAAAAAATTTCTTTCAAGACCTCTTCATTAATTCTTTCACCTACACATGTACTTCTCTTCTTAATTTTCCAGTGTAGTTTTTTTAATATTTTGTGTTAGTTTGATATTTTGTGTAAATGCTTTTTACATTTAATTATGTTGTGTAACATTATTATTTTTTCTTTTCTGCATGACATTATTTTGTTCCCTTAGAGTCCATTATTTAAATAGTTTTTGGTTTTTGTGTATTTGCTTGCTTAATTTTCTAGATACCTGCTACTAATTTATCCTCAAACCCTTCCCAGCTATATATATATCTCCTGTCAATACATTTATGCACATTTGGTAACGTAACAATTTTATCATCTTGAAGAATCTTCTGGAATCTTATCATCTACTCCAATCTGGAATCATTACTCTGCACCTGGAGCACAACAGTTACCCTGAGATTTCCATTTTCAATCTTTTTGTCCATTTGCTATACTTTCAGTAAGATGTCCTCAATTTTATCTTCCAACTTTTCCACTGTTTTTTCACTTTTGTCTGCACTCAATCTGCCACTCATACTAATACATATCATGTGTTATGATGGAAGCTTTTAAGCTCCATTGACTGCCAAGAGGTCTCCTTGAGACCCCATACTGCAGGAGAAAGAAGATAGACAATAGGATATTTCTAAAAAAGTACTTTTTAAAAAATGAAAGATAAGGTATGCACAGGGTTCCTATCTAGGATCCTCATCAATACCAACAGGTTTTTGGCTGTAAAAAAGTGGCCAAAGCGCATGATATTGGGGCATTCACTTAGTCATTGCTATGTACAGTGCCCTCAATCCCTGTAGAAAGTCCTAACATGCATTTTTTTTAAAAAAGCATTACCACTATATTATATTCTTACTTAAGGCTAGCTAAAACTTTTACTAGGTGAAAGAGCAGGGGACTGATTGCTATCCCTTGTTTCTAGTTATTTCCACAAAATGCCAGCCTACCCACAGCAAAGAGAAAATTTGAAAAGGTGAAGTGTTGCAAGAGAACCTCTTCTGTAACATGTGGTAGATTAATTCCAAAGAAGAATATGTTAACCACATAAATATATGATTGAGATTTAGGAGAAATTATATAGGTGTTTTTAAGTCTAATAGACCTTGTAGTTATTAATCACCAAGATGAACTTTACTTCAGGATGTCTAGTAAACTGTTACTTGTCATATACTTTGGGAATTTCAGATGCATATTTTCTTGTTATATCCTATATTTTTAAAAGGCTAGGAAGCATATTTGACATATTTTTATTTTAACCATATTGAGTGTTATTACGTACACATATTTATTTAATTTCAAATGTTATTCCCAGGTTAGTACTTACTATTTACTGCTGTACTCATATATCAAAGGTAAACCGAACACCTATTGTGTACCCAAACTCTTCTAGGTGCCATGGAAAAAACATAGCTCTCCTAAGAACTTAAAATTTAGCATAGTAAATTTTTTTAATGTGCTTCAGTTAACAGCAAATGGAGATAATACAACAGAGGATTATTTTGAGGTAGTATATGTGGATAATAAGTGTAAAGCACCATAAGTTCTCAAAAATAGTTTCTTCCCCTATCTCTCTACAATTCAGTTTAATGCCGATTCTTTCCATCTGTGTTTGGTTATAGTGGACATATGTCAAAATGTACTCATATGTGGTCAAATTTCTGTATAAACAACATATGTTTGAATGTTTAAAATACATTTGAAAGACTTAAATAAATTTCATGGAAAACAGATGTATGTTTTTACATTTTAGATTATGTTTATTTTCCAAGGAACATGGTTACATTTAAAATGTCTTTAAATAGAAGGTTTTTCACTTATACTGTTTTTACTTTTATTTTTGCATTATACATAACCTTTTGCCCCTAATACATGTGTAAAAAAATAATAATAAACTCTATTGTCTACCATAGACATTGACTCAAAGCCGGTGGACACCTTGAAATTGAATTGCATGCTTTTATTTTATGTAACAAAAATGAGGATAGATATGAGAATGGCTTGCCAGTCAATGACTACAGGCCAGATCTCTTTCTTTTTATTTCCATTTCAGCTTCACCTGGGTATGCTTTATTACAGAATTAACTTGCACAATTCTTAAAATATAGATCACTCCATCACAGATGTACTAAATCACAATTTGCAAAGAAAGACCTGGGAATCTGTATGTTTTCTTTCTAATACTTATGATCAGGTAAATGTGGAAAAAGCTTCGCTTCTTTATACTATGTCATTGTGGCTATTATATCTGTTTTTTCCCTTTATAATACTTGGTTAAATTTTGTAATCTACATTTTCTTGTCTATTTGCTTATTGTCTCTACATCTACTAAACTGTAAGTTTAAGTTCCACAAAGACGTAGCATGCCTGCTTTTTCACTACTGTATTAACAGAAAGGTGTGCCTGCTATGTATAGCATATAGAGATTACAAATATATAATAAAATGC